GAGAAATCGTCTTGCCAATTGACTCGCACTCAGACTCTGTGTTTGACTGTGTGGCGACGGTGTCGTTACTGGACGCAACATTGTCGACTTGCGCATTAGATGCACAGGCAGTTTCGATAGAAGAAACCGTTTTCCAAATTGTCTCGCACTCAGACTCTGCGTTTGACTGTGTGTCGACGTTGTCGTTACTGGACGCAACACTGTCGACTTGCGCATTAGATGCACAGACAGTTTCGTCAGGAGAAATCGTTTTGCCAATTGACTCGCACTCAGACTCTTTGTTTGACATTTTATCTACTATATCGTTGCGAGTTCTAGCACGGACGTCTTGCTTAGCTGATCTAAATGGGGTATTTATAGGCAAATACGGGTATCCAATTGGCCTTTCACGAAATTTGGGGGTGAACTTCGCTTTCTGCTTTTTTTTTATTTGCTGAGAATGCCGTTAGTGGGAACCTACTTAGTGTGTAAATACACGCATTTTTTTTATTTGAGTAACTTACCTTCTTTCAAAAACAGGCAAAGCCAAGACCTCTTGCTCCGTCGAGGTTAGGTTGTGAAGTGCTCATTGAGTGAAGCTATTCCATTTTAAACATATATATCATGTAACAGCAGAGTAGTGTTTGATCTGAGATGTTGTCAATATCTTATTCACATGCGTGTTGAGCTCACTGTTTCACTAGTGCCTAGTTTGTGATTCGTAACACAGTTGATCCACGGCATTGAACTAAGGGGTTTTTAGCTGACTCCAGTTGACCCAAAATATTCAGAAGAAGCAAACGAGGTTGCGAGCATTTTAGCAATTGCAGGTAATTGTTATTTTGTTCATTTTGAACTTTAGGATTCAGGATAATGCATTACTGAACCTTCCTACATTTTGCTGACAGACAACTCTGCATCCAGCTGCCAAGGCGGGCTATCACACGTCGGTTTCAATGTTGCTCCGTCGTGGAGCCGATGTCTTTGCTGAGGACACCCATGGCCAGCTCTCAATTCACGCTGTTTCTTAAATTGTTCAAGTGTATTTAAGTTTAGTTTCCAGTGGAGAAAAGATGTGTAGACTGCCGTGTTACTGGGTCACCCAGATTGGTGTGCAGTACTGAGTTGCCAAACTAATTTTGCAGCATTGATTTACACCGATTTGAGGTGCATATTTAAACGGCGATCAATCTCTGCTCAAGCGTTTGCATGTAAAACGGTCCTGGATGATGTCTACGGCGAAAAGCAACAGATAATGGTGAATGTGTCAAAAGTATGATGCCATTA